ACCATCCGTCTACCAACCCCTTCGACAAGCTGTCAAACCACTTCATTGCCAATTCTCCGAAGCTACTAGGGAAGATGGTGCAGAGCAGCGACTCATTCCTCCAATGAATGGTCATAAGCTTCCTATAGTGTCTGATGTGGGAGGCTGGATCGGTCTTTTCATCATATAATTTGAAGTTCGGGGCAATGAATTTACTTGGGATTCGCCTCCTTTTAATCCACAGGGTGAAAGGTGAGGATTCAGAACCGTCCCCATATTCTCTTGTTACTCTTCTGGCTAGGTCCATAGCCGATTTCTACTCAGGTCTCTTTAGATAGTTGTTAAGCTCTTCAATGATGAATTGCTTCTAGGAATCTTCCTCCATCCCTTGAGGTCGTTTCTGCTTGTACACATCATCTTCAGCATTTTCCCTTCTATCATATTTTTTTTGGGACTCTCTCGTCAGCATTCCTTTTTGCGCTTTTCTCTTATAGTCATTTCCTTTAGTATAGTTTTCAATTCCTCATTTTCTTTTATCAAATGATTTTCTTTGCGCATAAGATTTTTTAAACAACTTGTCATGTGCGTCAAGTCGCTCCTACAAGGATTGAACTAACTTTGCCAGGGAGTGGTCCTCCCCCTCGGTATGGAGGGATTCACCACGGTCTTTGCCTTGCTAGTTCTGTTGTTTGGATGGTCTGAAACTTGCTAAGGACACCTCATCGTCCTCACGGGGTTTAGATGGGTTTTTGTCCACATGCAACCTAACGTCGCTATCAGTTGGAAGCGACACTCTATAATGTGGATCAAAATTCCCTAAAGCAAAACTGCCTACAGGTGATCCGATGACACTTCTAAGTCTCGACATTGGCTTTTCGTTTCGAATGATGAGAATTTTCTCACAGACGGCGCCAAAAAATGTAAGAGATAAAAATTGAGGATACCTCCTATAGGAATAAGTAATGAACTTTTTTGATAAAAGTGAGCTTTGAACTTGATCTCCTAGTCTTCACTTCTTGCAAAACGAGCAAATTGTCCAAAATCGAAGTGCTTCGATCAAAGGCACTCTAATACTAAAGTCAGTAATGGAACTGAGACAATTGCCAGAAGACAAGTAGAGTTCAGCGTACCTTTCACCTTGGCTCCCGGTGCCTTTTATAAACCTTTATTTAGTTAGGGTTTTCATGATTCTCGATTCAAGGTAGTACACCTTCCTTGTTAATTCGTTTAACCAGATTGTCCGAGTTATAGGCGTTTCTTTAGCGCTCCGTTTACTGTTTGAAATAGCTCGTTCATGAGGAGGACTGAGCTCTGCCCTTTTCTCCCGAGCTCTTTGAACAGCTCGATTTCAGTCTGATGACTCAGTGTGTTAATGTCTCTGTCACGTGACTGGTCTTGTCTTGCTCACGTGAGGCCATTTAATGCAAGTACACGTGTCATATAGGGAGCCACCCCCTTTAGTCTATCTATCTATATATATATATATATATATATATATATATATATATAAATGGTAACATTCAAAAAAAGTATCATTTAAACACAAAAAATAATATCATTTAAACACAAAAAAATAGTAACATTTAAATATAAAAAAATAGTAACATTCAATATTAGTATTTTAAAAAACAACAATAGTAACATGTTCAACAAAAATAATAACATGTTCAGCAAAAATAGTAACATATTTAACAAAAATATTAATATGTTTAACAAAAATCGTAACATGCTTAACAAAAAAAATAGTAATATGGAACATTGAACAAAATTGAAAATAAAAATAGTAGCATTTAAATCCATAACTAGAGGAAAAAGTTTTTAATTTTTCAGTATTCAAAAAAGTAACATTAAATAAGTAATAACATGTTTAACAAAAAATAGTAACATGAAAAAAAAAATAATAATATGTTTTAGTAAATTACGTTTTAAAATCGATGTTACTGAACTAATATTACTATGCTAACATCAAGTACTTGGCGTGTACTGCTCATGTTACTTTTTCAAAATCTTAAGCTCGTACTCCAATTTCAATCTTCATCTATTTCAAATTTGCCTCAAATTTTAAAAACCGATTATTTAAATGTATAACAAACAAAATATTAACTAATAATTTGAATTTGAAGTATTATGAAAAACTTGTAATTAACAATTACCATCATAAATCAAACATTTATATATTTAATCATTGATATCCATATATAGCTCCTTGTAAATAATGTTTTTAACTTTTCATAATTGCCCAAACTACAATGTTAAGAGTATTTTTTAGATTAAAAAAAAAAAAGTGGATTAAACTCCTTACTAATAAGATAAAAATGGACTTATCTCTAAATAAATAATCTTGACGGAATCAAATTATTATAAGTCTATTCAGAAATTAGGTGGGCTCAACACTAATTTTTACTTTTTTTTATTATAGCTCACGGCTAATGAGTTTACTTATTGGATTCGAGCAGTTTTCCAAATAAATTCCGAATCTCCCGTCTAATCATTGACGGTTAGCCGAAGGAAACTTCCTAGCTTAGGATTACCTGTACCACGCTGTATCATAACAAACTCAAAATCTACACGTGGCCCCATCGATTCTTTTTCAAAGTCAACAAAAGAGACCTTCAACAGCTTAAACAACGCCACGTACTTGATGTGTATTCGATCATACCATCAGGAACTTACCCAAACTTTCCCTACGCAAATTGACGCACCGTCTTCCTCAAGCAGTTTATTTTTAAAAGCGACGCTTTGGTAAGTTACTAAAACGTTTACAACTCTGATTCATAGTTCTAGTAGGAATCATAGCAAAAACTCCTCTAAGCCGTTTTCTATATAAAGGATCATTGAGACTTCACCTATTGTTGTTCTACTTGAGAACCCTAATTTTTATTCCGTCTTTCACACACACACACACACACACACACACACACACACACACACACACACACTCTATATGCATTAGTTTAATGAGAGGTGCATAAAAACAGAATTGGGTATAAAGGTATGCTTGATTTGTTGCAAGAAACTTTTCTTTTCTTTTTTCCAGTTTGTATTGATATAAAAAGTTTCTTTTTTTCCCCTGGGGTTTGTTCTTTCTTTAATATTGTGCCTTTTTTGCTTTGCTTTTGCTTCGTTTGTTTTTTGATTTTGGCCTTCACTTGATTTGGTAATGTTTTCATACCATTCTTGATTGGTAAAGTTGCATGGACTAGTTTTTCCTAACTAGGGATCGGTAGGGCACATTAGACTAATCCTTTGCTAAGTAAAACTTGGATGTCAAATCGGTATGGCACATTCAGACTTTCATTGTATAACTATTTAATTTGATAATGTGTACAAATTTGAATATTTTTTTTACATGTAGCTATTACATTCCTCTAATTTGCACTCATCATACTTCTTGTGTGATCTCACTTAAAATTATCTTGAGTAAGATATGAACCATTTATTTTGCTTACTTATCTCTGTAAATGATTTATTGAAATTGCTTATGTTTCTTGTTTCAGATGACGGTTTGTCAAACTTGTGGTGACAAAGGTGAAACCCAACTTCTTATCCATTGCAAGAAGTGTTATGGTGATTCTGTTCTACATCAGTATGTTCTTTTAGTCAAATTGATTTTTTTTCTATTAATGCTTACTTCATACCAAAGTTATGTAATGTGCTTCTTTATCTCAATTGTTGATTTGTTTTTCATTACTATTTTTTTTGGAAATAAGGGGGTGTGGTGGTAGGGGTAAAATATGTTGTATATGTATCAATGTCGAAGTTTTTCCCTATCCAAACGAGTTTTGGAAGAAAATAGGATTTCATATTGAACTCAAAATTATACATTATTGGGATGGGATGACTCCTACTAGCTTCCCCCCCCCCTCCCTCCCAAAAAAAAAGAACCGCATGTTCGAGTTCTCCCGCATACAGCTCAAGTGGCGAAGGCCCTTTCATTCGCGCTTGGTAAGCGCTTCACTGTAGCCAACAAGCTTACAACTATCCTATCGGCTATAGTCAAGCTATGGAAACTATGGGATTTGGTGTTACAATACAAAGTACAATCCCACACTCTCTGGTTAAAGTTAAGGTGAAGTGCTTTATATGTAAACTCAATATCCCTAATCATAACAAGGCTTTTTTTTGAGTGATGTTTTGAATGATATCAAAAGCCTAGAAAAACAAAGTCATCTGAACTAGGCCCAAAGCAGACAATGTTGTTATAATATAGATCAGGGTCATCAGAGTCGAGACCAACCATTAGTGTCCGAATTGGCTCCATATGGTCTGGTAAGTGTTTGGGCTTAAGCCAACACAAGAATGTGTGGTCCTTAAGTGGGGTTGGATTATGGAAACTATGGGATTTAGTGTTACAATGCAATAGTGCAATACCACATGGTATGGTAAAGTTAATGGTAAGTGTTTTATATGTAGACTTAATATTCATAATTGCACCAAGGCCTATTCTGGGTGATGTTAAAAGCCCCAAAAATCAAAGTAGCGTAGGCTAGGCCTAAAGTGGACAATATTATTAAAATATAGATCAGGGCCATTATAGTATATAATGCGACAAATGTGTATGTTGTGACAAATATTACAAAAGTTACACTTTACAAAACACTCTTGCTAGCTATTGGAGTTCAACCTTAATACATTACAATGTCTATTGATCATCAATTTTACTTGAAAAGAGAAGAGAAAATAGGAGAAAGAAAGCAAGTTGTTGCATTATGGATGCATTTATTTTACATAAAAAAAACTTTTACTTTCATTCTTAGAATATAATAACTTTTTAATGAGTTAACTAACTTGTATTTCATTTGTGTATTTGTTTAGCTATTGCCTAGACAGGTTTTCCACTAACGATGACGTGATCAATTGGACGTGTGAGGAGTGTGCCCCAAACATTGCTAAGGTTATCAAGCCACCAAGAAAATGTGAACGAATAGGTTTGAAAAAGAAGCGAGCTATTGAAGTTCGAAACAGTTGGAAGAAGATGATAAATTATTATAGATCTTCAAGAGCAAAGAAACTTGATTATGCAAAAGTTGGGTTGGATGACGTATCTCTGTTAACTCCATATTGTTCAATCCCATACTAGGATATGATGAGGAACTCATCTTATGTAACTCATGGAAATCAAGAACTCAGTAAGCAACGGATAAGGAAGCTAGAACTAGAAGATGGAAAGGATGGAGAGAGTAAGCAAGAATATTTGGAACCAATTGAAACCAAAGCCCCTCCATCAGTTCCTCTAGGTGATTCTATTTGCTTGAACATAGCCTACAATAAAAAATGTTCGGATTTTGATGACTCTGTTTGTGCACAACCGATTATTGATCCCATCTGGAGGTAAGAATTTTCTTTTTGGTTAGTTTAGCTTATATCTGTACATATTTTGCCCTTCTTTACATTCTTGGGCCCTTTTTAGATTGTAAGGTTACTACTACCACAAATAACATTAAAGAAATATGGATGTAGTGTCATTTCTCTAAATTAATGGGTAGTTTTAAGTTTTCATTTTCTAAAACTTTTAATGACATGTCTTGATAACACTAGCATTCTAAAATAGGTCTTCCCCTAGGTCCAATGATGTATTTTTTCAACCCAAGAATTCAATAAGACTCTTATTCCATATAGGAGTCTTAGATTGCCCATCTCTCTCTCTCTCTCTCTCTCTCTCTCTCTCTCTCTCTCTCTCTCTCTCTCTCTCTCTCCCCTTTAGGCACAGAAAAACATTGTTAGAGGCATATACACCTCTTCATTTCTCTCTCTCTCTCTCTATCTATCTTGCTCTCCCTCTCTCTCTCTTTCTCTCGCTCTCTCTCTCTTGCTCTATCTTTACCAGGCCACAGTTCCATTGCCACACAACCTCCTTGGTAGTTTTCCATACTTTACTCTATTATCTTAGTTCTCTCTACTTCCCACACAAACAAATGAAAAAAATTGAACCAATTAATGTTGTACTCTCTCTCCCTCCGTCTCTCTCTCCCAATGATTTTTTTTACTCACTTCTTTACATATTGTAGAATGTTCAAAATATGCAATTTGTGATAGGAAAGTCTTTGAGAAACCACTTTATTAGCTCAACTTTCATGTTTTTTTTAGAGAAACATACAAATAAATAACAAGATTATGAAACTTATAACTAAGGTGGCACTAACATTGGAATGCACACAATAAATAAAGGAGCAGAGATAAATCATTGTATTATTGATATTTCATCTTTCAATTGAGACATGAAGTGATTATTATTTCTCAATAAGCATCTAATTTTGGCTTCTTTATTGTTGAGGCAAATATTGGTTAGAAAATTTTTCTACCATTGAACAAAAAGCTTTGGAATATAATTTAATGTTTGGCAATCAACATAGTGAAGTCTAAATCTTATGATGTAACCATTGATCCATTCAAAATCATCCATCAACAACCACAAAAAATAGTCATGTTCACACGTTTCATTCTTAGCAAATACAAGCACATATCTTCAGTAAAACAAATTGACTCTCATTTCATATAGGACTCTTAGACACACGTATGCAACACACACGCACATAATTTGATATTTTGGACTTACGTATCTTGGGTTTTGGTGCATTTCGCTTAATATATTATTCATCTCATTATTCTTGAAATTTGATTGTTTTAATTAATCAGTTTTACATTGTTTCAATTAAAATTTACAAAATTTGGCAAAGGCAATAATTTTCATAATAATTATTGGAATTCTTTTAGTCAATAGCTTATGTGACTAACTAGCAAGCTACTTCTTTGGTAATGCCAATAGACCAGTGCTAATAAAGTCTGCTACCTTGGGGTTGGATATAATGTTGGTGGATTTTGTGAATTTTGTTTGAATTAGAAAATGGGGTTTCATTATTTATGATGATTGTATTAGACTCATTTGATTGTCTATATGTTATTATTTGTGGGATTTCATTAAATGGATTTAATATGCAAAAATAATCTAGGTAGGTTTTTTTTTTTGGACATGACTTACTACCTAATCTAACTCTATAGTTTGCTACTTTCATATTATTATTCACTATGAGTTTATTTTTTCTATCTTTTTCACTAGGCTTGAATTGATTATGAGTAGAAAGTTGTGTTTCTTTGAGATGTTATGTATAGAACAAAACATAGACCCAATTTGGTGTTAAATGTTTGAATCTCTTATGGGCATGACTGTAGTGTGATTAATTTAAGTTATGTTTCTATAAATAAGTGTTTGATTATATATGTTTTGTATGTATTTTGATATTATTTAAAGGTCCTTTTTTGGATGAAATTAGGTCAAAATTTGTAAGAAATATTAGTGGGCTCATATTGATTGGTGATTGCTGGAATCTTGTGTTATACAGTGCCTTTGTACATGGGTAAATGCTTACAATATTTTAAGAGTTATATAGTGCCTTTAGGCGCATGTAATTGCTAGTCCATATATTGCTAAATGGGATGCTTTAGGATCATGAATAAAGAAAATGACACCCTTGTCCAAATTGTCTCCCATTTATCAAACAACGCTTGCTCAAAGGTGTATGATGTGTCAACTGCACTACCTATGGTACTTGATCTTGAAATGTTGTGTAGATGTCATGCATGGCCAAAGAGTTTCCAAAAGTCACGACCTACGGATAATAGCATTGGCCTCTTTTTCTTTCCTGAGAATGAAAGGTAACTTGTGCATGATTTCAAAATATTAGCTTATATTGGATGGCCCCCACTAATTTTTGTAAAATTTTGCTGAGGGAATGAAAGATTGTTTGATAGTCTATTGGATGATATAATTGAGAGAAATCTTGTTCTAAAGGCAGTGATTGATGATCTAGAGCTCCTAATTTTTTCATCACTTGAATTGCCTCAACAACATTGGAGTAAGTTAAAATGATTTTTTTAATTATACTTTTGCCCTTGTAAAAATTTATACATATATCTAAATTTAAGTCGACGATTTCTTAAATTGATCTGCAGGATTTCGTAGGAAGTATTATCTATGGGGTGTGTTCAAGCAAACCCAATGTTCTCTTTCTCTTGTGCCAATTGATACTGTTGCCTACCGTAGCAGTACTGAATTTGTTGCAGTTCCAAAGTTTAAAGACCATATAGAAAACCAAGATAAGAGGGATTTTGTTAAAACTTGGACTACTAGGAGTCCTCGTAGCCCGTTGAGCACTTGTAGCAGTGATGTGTCTAACATGACAAATTCTCCAATCCTTCCCAAAGTTGAAAGTTGCTCACCATATTCTTCTACCTTTTCGCTCCTTTAAACTTACCAAGGAAGAGCAAGAATATCGTAAGATGCACACAATTTAAATAAAGCATGCCTCCAAATGAAGCATAAGTGACGAGAAGATGAAGATAGACAAAAAATTGAAGCACGCCCGCTAAATGAAGCACGACGAGAAGTTGAAGGTAGACAAAAAATTGTTGGTGTTAACCCTATCGAAACCCAAAGACTCGTTCCACCATCCTATTGAGTTTGACAAAGACACTTGTTAGAATATGGGGATGCCTCCAAGAATAGGTCAACAAAGCTAGCACTTCTTGAAATGTCATAAATAATGCAGTAATGTTGTATATAATTTTGGATTTTCTATTTTATTGTCCTTTTGCAACATCCATTTTACGAAACACATCTTGAGTAAATGCAGGAAATTAACATCTATTATTGTAAATAAAGGGAAATGGTGAGGATTGTTGTCCACCAATACATTATGTCTAAATACACTTTTTTCTTCTTGAATAATCATTGATAACTTCTTTTTCAGTCAAGCTCAACTACCTTGCTATTTCTTGGTCTCTTCACACATCAAAATTTTTTCTCTCTTCTTATTTTCATCTCATTCTTTGTTAAGAATATATTTGTAATTAGCTAATTTCATGAAGAATTGTGTATATCTTAACCTAATTCAATGGTAATGATGCTTTAAAGATCAAAATTCATAAACGTCAAGAAATGGGAGAGTTCAAGCAACAAAATCTTATCAAGTGTTCTTTGACGCACCTTTTAAGTTTAGGACAAAGATAAAGATTTAGAGACCTAAGGACTCTTATTTTAATTTTAGAGTTAGGATGATTAGAATTATGAAATGTTCGCCTTTTGCTCGTTTGTCGTCGGCTATAGTGGTCTCTGAACATTTAGGAATAAAATCAGAGAACACTTTTGAGTTTGGTAGTGGAGACTACCCTCTAGCCACTCAAGAGGTCTCTGCTCCGCTGATATGGTTTGACTTCTTTTTTCGTTCTAGTGACAATGACCTCTAACTACTGTCTCACTAGTCGAGTTGTCATTCACGAATTCTTATTTACTTAGACCCAAATATTAACTGAATTTTGAATCTATAAGTAGGGAAAACCTTTATACGTTAGGGTATCTCTTTTGTGAGTTAATTTCTTATCTCCTAAACCTTAAGAGATCATAGAACAACCTTAAATCCTTATGACAAACTATCATCCATCTTGAATCTTCAATTCAATCTCACACCTTGAAGATGAAGTTTTTACTTGGAGTTTACAAAATCCATTAGCGGAGAAGGTCACTCAAAGGGCCTAAACAATCCATTTGAGATGGAGGCGTTCAAGTGAAGTTGCTCATAACTTTGGTGGGTGGAATCTGAAGGAGAGATTTACTGAAGAAAAGAATCATCTAAACATGTCATTGGTTGATGTATAAGTTTCAAGTACTTATAAATCAACTTTTAGTTAGTAGATCAGGCTAGGCGAACCCTTAGAGGTTTCATAATTTTTTTGATTGCGTATTTGCACGTATTATAATGAAATAAGGATGATACAAGTTTAAGATTTCTCCAAAGAAAAATAAAATGATGGTCGATACTTCAAAGTATTGTTAAAAGATTGATCATAAAATATGAGTTCGCGCGTATTATTTTTGTGTCAAATTTAGTTTCCAATGCATTTAAACTTAAGAAAGGTAACTAGGTAAGTGTTTAAATATTTTTAGACCAAAATAATGATACGATTGAATGTAGAAGGTCAAGAAACCTTAGGATATGTGATATAAAGTGTACTAGAAATTTGGAAGTATTCCATAATTAAAAAACATTTTTGAGAGAACTTGACTAAGAAGAAATTTGACACTACCTCATTATTTTGGCAATAACATTTTACCTTGTTATTCGATTGAGATGATTCTTACGACATTGAAAAGTAGACTTTAAGAGCTACAAAAGTGTCTTTCATAAAATTTTCTTAAATCGACTTCTAACTAGGTCACAATTGATTTGGACAAATAGGACATGTTGTATAATTTTGGATTCCGTTCAAACGGGAAAAGCTCTGCTCAAGCACACTTCTGACCTGCAAAACATGAATAGAAAAACTAGAGATAATAGGAGTAAGCTTCGTTCGAAGACAAGCGCAATTTTCAAAATGTTCAAATCCATGCCTCTTGAACTATTTTACACCCTAATACCTTAGTGACTTTCTTTAGGTCTTGTTTATTAGTTTTTAACCTTATGAAGTGCAGAAGAGTTGGGAGAGAAGATAAAGATCGAAGGATTAACGCATAAGAATTACATTAAAATGTATAAGGATCAATTAACCATGGATTACTGCTAAAAAAAAAATTAACCATAGATTAAGGTAACATTTTTCATTGACGATTAGAGTTATTATATGTAATTTTTTGGATCTTATATCAATATATATGATAGATCTACATTGATTTCATCGATACATAATTCACTTCTTGGAAACATTACATGATTTACATCAAAAATCACATATTCTTGATAAAAACCCTTAGATATTAAGTAGGGACAAATTTGATTTATCTTTTTATGATCTCTTGCATGTTTTGATTTGATTACCCTTCAATTTTGATAATTGTTGAATTACAAATTGTGAGATATTGGACGTTATCGAAAATTCATATTTTATATCATGTATGGGTAGGTATGATGAATGTGGGATACACTCTAATGCATATTGCTAAGTGTTTAGCTAAGTTTCTTAGCTTGAGGGGTTTAAGTTATGTATCACTCGTAGTAGAGTTACTTGATTCCTCATGAGATTCCAATAGTTTGCACTATTCACTCACAGTGATCGAGACCGAAAGTTACTACAATAGTTATAAGAAGGTTTCATCAATGTCGGTGCATCAATATACACACTTCTTAAAGTGTGTGTCATGACCCTGCTTGGAATGGATTTGATGAATTGGGTATGAGTAGGTATAGTTGATGTTAGAATTCCAATTAATTAGCATGCATACATAAGATATACTTGTTTTGGTTCTTTTGGATAAGAAGTATGTTTGCTATGATATTTTGTTTACTTGAGATATTCTTGTTAGGAGGTGATTTTTCTTAAATAATTTGATTATGTTGTGGATTTATTGTTCATGTATTGTACACCTAAGATCGTTAAATGTCATTGGTTTTACTTCAAATGAATATATGTTATTTTTTAAAATTGTGACCTACCTATTTTTATCAATTTTATAAACCTTGTCTAGGTTTGAGAGAGTTTCTCTACTAGGCTTGTCTACTCACCCTTCTTTACATTTTTTCAGTTTTTTGTATAGAGGAAAGCACCACCATAGTTGAGCACATGGAAGTGGAGTTTGAGATGAATCAAGATGTGGATCTAGATCTCGAGGCTTAGAATTCTACTTATCTAAATGTAGTTCATTTGGTTTATGACAAAGTTGAATGTTATTATCTTTACATTAGTTGGATGAGAGGTTTGGTTTATTTAAAGGTTTTGGTTGTAAACTTCACGATTAAATTAGGGTTAATTGCACTAGAGGTCCCCAAAATATGGGATTTATCTCATTTTGGTCCCTAATGTTTTAATTACATCATTTTTGTGACACCCCAAAATTCGGGGGTCCGTTGATTACCCATCAACCCGCGGAATACCCGTGGATACCGAGTAATTCGATATCACGCCATTGTGCCCATTTACCGAGAATCATAATTTTGACAAAATTCAGGCAGAGTCTCCTTTGTACGGGAAGCTCTATCCAAAACTCAACATGTGCAATCATATAATAACAAGACCCATTCGAGGTCCAATATTCAACAATGACCACACCGGGTCCAATTATAAATAAACATTGGCCACACCGGGTCCAATTATCCATATTTATATCAAAACATGCAATGTTAGTTTAACAATAATCTATATAAGTTCTATTACAATTATTTGCAAAAGATTAGATGCCCAAAACATTATTTCCACAAATGTTTTACATTAACACAAAATAAAGTCACATTCGACTTTCTTCAAACATGAGGGTCTAAATTGGAGCCATCCACCGGTGTATCTCTACCACCTGAAATATTTTCCGTATGGGGTGAGCTAATACCCAGTAGAATAATCCCTACAGAGGCTACTCCCCACCTTAAATGCATATGTGGTGGGTATAAGCAACAAACAACATTTAACAATCATTCCACACAAGAATATGCATTAAATGTGGAATGCAACCATGTCATGCCATGAAATGATATCATTCATGCACTAATGCACTTCACCACATCCCACGACACAATGCAAAGCCAAGGTATACTGAATCCGTCAATTGACAAAAAAATCCACCAAATGATCGTTTGAAATAAAAGTTGTTTTATTAGAAAAACCAAATCATTGACGAGTGTTACTCATTGTATAATTACTTATAAATCAAAATCTTGTGTCTTGTTGGGCAATGAATTTTGGATTTTATACTACCGGTTCCATACACCATACTACACTTTTTCGGAATTTCACCACAGGGGAGTGTATAACCAAGTCACCGGGTCTTGCACCCGAGGGGGGAATCTACCCCTTCTTGCTATATCCGACACAAGTTTTTCTTTCGTGCAACCATGCGACTCATTCGAATTTTCAACCCAACTTTTCCGAGTCCACCCATCAATCACCAAGAATGGTATTTGATTAACTATGCATACACACACCCACACTTATGACTCATGTCCATGAATGTGATGTCAATTCCATGTCCATATTGCAATGTATGCCAAAGGAACAATTTCTACATATCAATGTCTACCAAGGCGATTTATATCACATGCAAATAATTTTCAAAATTTCATCACAATGTCAAAACATCAACTAGTATGTGTTAACATTTATATTCAACACAATTGACAAGCATATTATTACATAATCTATGTCAAAAACATATTTAATTTAAAAGGCAAAATATAGCACATAATAGCCCATATAAAAATCAGCCGATAGTGGCCCAAAATTTAGCCACTAAATAGGTCACAAATCAACCACTAAGCAGTCCACAAAT